TCACTTGTTCATCCAGTGCAAGGTCACTGGCCAATTGTGGAGTCTATTCCTAAGGCTCAAAAACATCTCATGGGTCATGCCTGGTAGAATTGCAGAGGCCTTATACATTTGGGAAAAAGCAGGATTACAAGCAAAAAACAGAAGCAACTGGAGAATCATTCCTGCTATTTGGTGGACTGTCTGGAAAGAGAGAAATCTTAAAGTTTTTGAGAATAGGGAGAGTAATATGCAGCAAGTAAAATTAAATTGTATTCTAACTTTGTGTTTTTGGTGTAATCAGATCTACTCTAATGACACTGTCTCTATCATTGATGTTTTAGACTCATTATAGGGATAGGACAGTGCCTTTAGAGTTCATTATGTAAATATGGTTTTCAGTACAACCCATGTACTGATTTAAAGAAATAGAAACAGTTCCCAATCTCAAAAAAATTACAAATTCAATGCTGATATAGCAAAGGAAATAACACAACAAAATGAAAGGATCCATAGAGCAGGAGCGGACAGTGTCGAGAACGGGTTCCCATGAATGTGTAGCTTTTACCCGGTCCTTGTATTTATATTGAGAAATTCATTAAAGCTTGTAGTAAATTTAGATGGTTTTTGCTGTTTCCTTATCCGAAATGCTTTAAAATGTGTTTCATCGAGCCGAGGGTCTACCGGAAACAACTTCTCTACTTCCAAGGTAGGGGTAAGGTCTGTGTACACTTTGTGGGATTACACTAGGTTTGTTGTTGTTGTATTAAATTTAGACAGAACCCAATACCAAGAAGGTTGTTGGTTCCGAACATACTTCCAGACCATTGTTGGATTCTAGCTATTGTTTAAAATTCAATTTTTGCATTTAAATAGGTTGAAATTGTGAAGTGAAAGTCGGTATAATCACGAATTTTTTCAAGGCTCAAGCCACTTCAGATTCATCTTCTAGTTCTCCTTCACTAAGTTCGCCTTCATGTCCAGAAATATTTAGAATTCTAATGGTAAAGTTTATATCAATATTATGTTTGAGTAGTTGGTTGCCTTTTAAATATTACATATATATTGAATATGAGTACCCGTTTCTTTGTACTATAATTATTTTTATTGTATGCTAATTTGAGATTACTGAAGTTCGTGATTAACTCAACTAACGGGGATTAAATTTTAATTATTGTTTTTTTAGTGTGTACATTTATGACACTTAAGTCTAACTCAACCCTAAAAACAAGCTCGCGAGTGGAACATTACCCAAGTCCATATAAGCAAATCACTCGTCAATTCTCCAACCAATGTGGAACTCTAACACACTTAACACCCCTTACCGCCCGGACCCCAAACGGGAATGAACCTGACTATGATACCACGCAAACATATGGCACCTAAACTTAACCTTAAAAATTAGTATACACAAGTGTGAGATTAAGATAACATACAATTCAACTTTGACAAACTCAAATCAGCATTTTAAAATTAAGGAGGATTAAAATGAGTTCTCACTTCTCATAACTAAAATTGATTGAATAAATTTCAATTGCAACACCACACTAATTACACAACAACAAAAGTAACACATAACAAAACAAAGAAAAAACAAAATACTCACATTTTGCCCGTAGCTTGGTTGCGAAGAGTAGGATTGTTGGCCATACACATTACTTCCTCGAGAAGGATACATCTTCGACCACCAAAAACCCTAACAACTAAAATGAAACAAACTGATACAGCTATCTAAAGACTCGCAACATCAAATAACTGAGCTATTTTTCTTTCTTCTAGTGCCGGCGAATTAGAAGAAGAAGGACGCCGCTGCGTTACGGCGGAGCTGCGGCGGAAATTAAGGGTTTTCTTTTTTAACTGTAAATAAATGTAAAAGATTGGGGGAAAAAGCCCTACTGATATTTATTTGTCAGAAAAAAAATAAAAAATAATAGTATTTGGTAATTTGCTGCTTCGCGGGTGTCAGGAAATATTTGCACCCGGATGATCTGGCCGTATATCATGTTGACCTTTTATACACTTTAGTGACGGACAATTTGTTGACTTGAGAACCACGGTGTAATAGTAAACATGAATGACAATAATATGTTTGAGTACTATTTATCTGGTGAACGTCTCGACTTCATGTAAAGAAAATAATGACCATAACGAAAAAATAATTATTTTGATTTGTGCATTCATATTTTATTTTAATTTTAATATAAATATATATATATTTCAATCTTTGTTTCTATTAAAGACTTAAGGCAAAGGGACCGGTCATCTCCTATTTTATTTCTATCAGTATGGAGTATCTAAGTAACGGCTTCGATGGTTTGAACAAGGACTGAACCTTTCAGCACCATCAAAGATGTTCAAAGTTGGGAATTACCCATATTAGCTTTGTTAATAATATTTTACAATTTTAAAAAGGTGACTTATTCTCTGTGATGAAATTACATAAGTAAGTATTTTGAGGATTTTTCTAAAGCCTCAGGATTATAAACTAGTTTGGGGAAAAGTTTTGTATATTAGAAAATGGTTCATATTGAAAAAGAACATACTGAAGCAATCATGATTCACGCTCTTCCTTACAATACCTTGGCATATCATTGTCAATTAGGAAAATATCTTTCATTCATTGGAAGCCACTTATTAATAAGATTATAGCAAAAATGTCTTTATGGACAACCAAGAAACTATCTTATATAGACAAGGTATGATTGATTCTAATTGTCATCTTTGATACACAATCCTATTGGGATCAACTTTTCATACTTCCTAACAAGATCATCAAATTGGTAGATGGATACTATATGAGCTATATATGGTTAGACTAGAGTATGTACTCCAAATCTATCAAATCTATTGGTGGCCTAAATGTAACTAATCTACAACAATGAAATAGATATGCTCTTGCAAAATGTGCTGGAACTTAACACACAAACAAAACAAGTTGTGGATTAGGTGGATACGTACTTACTATACTAAAGACAGATTGGTACAGGATATAGAAATTCTCAATCAAGCATGTTGGATGGTAGGAAAAAATCTTAAAGTTAGGGACAACATTGCTATGTGACAGAATCAATTAAGAATCGGATATCCAGCGATTCGACAACTTTACCTCCTCAATATGGGTGACCAACCTAGAGTACTATAAAAGCCTCTCATCTTTCATAATTGTGCATGGCTAGAAGTCATATTTACAATATGTCGATGTTACATAGAAGAACGATGATTGTGGATAAATTGAGAAGATGAGGGATTGCAATTAGTGGAACCTAAATGTGTGATGTGCAAAGGAGATGATGAAACCAGAGAGCACATCTTTTTTAGACTACCACTATACACAAATTATTCGATTTAGAATAATGACGGGTTGCAAATACAAGTGGACAGATTGAGAACAACACCTTGATTGGCTATTCTGAATGTCAGAGGCAAATCACAACATGATTCAATCTTTAGATTGGTATACACTAAAGTAGGTCATGCTATCTGGATCGGAAGGAATGGAAGAATCTTTGAGAAAAGGTTTAAGGATAAGAATAAAATCACTAAAAAAATTGCCTACACATATAACATATGAGTTAGTGTTGTACTCAGAACGTTGTTACAAAACTACCAATTCTAATATATATATATATATATTACTGCTTTGAGCAATAGGTAGCTTTAATTTTCTTCACATATAAGATAGTCAGTTGTGTGAACTAAACTATAACTTTTTAAAAATTGCTTGGTCATTAATGTATACATGATTAGTTACAAAAAAAGACAATAGAAGATATATTTATACGAGAAATTATTCAATAAATATTATTTTTAACACATCAAAAAAAACATAATATAAAATAATTTGAAAAACTAATACAAACATGATTACTAACAACAATACTAAAACGTCATATTCACTTGTAGTCTTACTAACTTTGCCAAAAAATCCCTAAGTAAACAAGGACTAATTGATTTAACTACACATCGCATGTACTCTCTACCTCCGATTGTTTTATTAATTATGTTCATTATTCATATCTGAATTGAGTGATCAAACTGTGAATTCACCATGATTTCTAGTTAGTCACTACAGTGCTTTGCGAAATTGTGCGAGCAAATTTTAGTGTATATAATTGTGTATTTTTTTTGTCAACTATACCAATATGTTATGTCAGAGTAAGCAATCATATCAAAAAGGCATAATACATAAATATAATCTCTAACTTGCCTCAACGGATAAGTAAGCACTTCAATTTTGAAGAGTCCACGTCTAGACACCTCAACTCGGTCTCAACTGAAAACTTAACACTCTAACTCATCTTCTATTGTGTCTTGTGAACACCATGTGCTGACATAGCACAAAATAATTGAAGCTAGATAGTCACTTTGTAAGTTTTGAGTGTTCAATTGACACAACGAAGATGAATTGAGGTGTCTAGATGTGCATATTCAAAGTTAAATTTGAGTGAATGTATATGTATTGTGCCTATCAAAAATATACATGATGTAGTGATTCTAGGAATCTAAATAACATAGTGAAAGATTAAGAACAATTTAAATGACATAACTTAACTCATATCTTCATTCATCAAATTGAAAACAATAATAATCAAACATACAATAGTAATCTTTACTCCCTCTTTACGTGCTAGCGCTTGTGACATTATGTCTCTATTCCCCTTTCCCTCCCAAATAAAAAAGAAGTAAACAAAGAGTACATTCCTCCCCTCTACTTTACTTTTAGAATTATATAAGATGAATAAATCTAATATATATAAGAATGAAATAGAGCAATTTTTTTTTTTATCAACTCCCTCAAATTTGAGGGCTCATTCTGGGATCGAGGACCAATGAGTATTTTGAAATTCGTATTTCATGAAAGAAATCATATTCTTAGATCCTAGTACGATGTTAATATATTGTATTCATTATCAGAAAACCACTAATTTTCGATGGAATCCATTGAGATTTGATTTGTCACTAAAGTTTTTGAAAATTAGTGATTTTCTGATAGTGATTTTTTTGGTTGTTGTATGTTGTAAATATTATTGAAGAAACCTTGAGAGGCCTACTTTGTGGCCAATCAATTTGACATCTTGTTGAATATGATATCTATATTCACCAAAAGTGAATTTCTTATAGATAGAGGGTTCTTTGCAGCTTCCAATTATAGAATCATAAGAAGGGCAAAGAAAATAAGCTATTGAGAACCTCTCCTTCTTTCCATTTGCCATCACTTTGTGTTCCACACTTTTGTACACATCATTGCTCCAAGCCTGCATTTATTTAAACATAGTAATTAGAGCGCATTTGAATATAAAAATTGAAATCTATAGAACGTCAGAAATATATGATTAATCTTTTATTTTCGAAAGAAATGAAAGGATTTCTTGAAAAATGTACAAAATCCATTCATTCTTTCTACCTCATAGATGGTTAGAACTTCATTTGGGTTTTGAATCCTATTACATCAACTGATTCATCTTAGGAAAAAAAACATATATAGACTTCTCAAGATAAATATAAAAATTATTCCTTTAATAACGGTGACATCTAAACTAGCTTAGCACTATTATACCAATAAAATGTAAAAACTTGTCAATGGCTTAGGGGATTTTCTGGATAAAACTTACCCGTACCAGGTGTATACACCAAGCCAATACATACATGTCATGTATTTAAATTTATAGTTCATTTTACTTAATCATAATTAATTAACATGTGTTTTACTTCATTAAATCACGTAATAATGGAAGTTGCATTAGTTTGATATACACACCTAATGCGAGTAAATTTTTTCCGAATTATCTACCGATCAAAGAAAAAATGAGTCTATGTTATTTTTAACGACAGAGAAGGAAATGGCCTTGTTGGGTACAATACTTGCCAAAATTTATTTATTTAATTAGTTCATAGTAAAAAATAAATAAATATTAATAAACACATACTTAGCTCTTTTTTTTTATTTGGCTTAAATTATTTAAATGATGACAAGACCATGAGCAATTGGCGACAAAAAATTGGTGAAAAGAAATTGGAATTTTGGACACTGGTTTCACCATTTCTTGACCAATCAAAGACAATTATAAACTAATTGCACTTTTGATTATTTTATACTAAATAATGGCATAGTTCTCAAATATAAAAGTTTTAAAATTTATAAACAATTGAATTGATATACAAAATCAATCCAAAAATGATTAACAATTTCCAAAAAAATTAAAATAAAATTGATAACAAAATAAAAGTGAAAAAATATATGTTGCAATTGGACTCTTCAAATACATTGTTGCACCAATGTCAAATCCAACAAAATCATACTATTATTGAAAAAAAGAATATTTTTTTAAAGAGCATAAGCAGCAAAAACAGAGTACGTAGTAAAAGAATGTACCTGAAAAAGATCTCCAATGTTAACAATAAGTGCATTTTGATTAGGCTTGACAGCAACCCATTTGGAATCTTTCATTAATTGAAGTCCACCAACTTCATCTTGATGAAGTATAGTTAAGAAATCACTATCTGTATGTGGCACTAATCCAAATATTTCTTGTGATATTTGACATGATGGATAGTGATTTAATCTAAGAAAACATGAATTCTCATTGCAAATTTCTCCAATTTCACTATCTTTGTGGTCTAATTTCCTCACAAGAACACTAGCAAGTGATTTGGCTAAATCTTGCATTGAAGTTGCATATTCCACCATCACTTCCCTATTACAAAAAAGAGTTTGAATTTAAGTTATGTATATTGATAAATAAACTATCATAAAATCGTTATATTTCAATAGACGTTCTGTCGAAATTTGACTTATCGGTTAAGAAAAGCCATTGAAAATGTTATTGACAAAATAATTCTTGATAGATCTCATTTGAAATTTCACTTAGAAAAGTGATATTTTCTTGTGATATCTCACTTAGAAAAGTGATATTTTCTTGTGATATCTCACTTAGAATTTTGGTGAGTCCTCTTCATTGAACTTCGAACCTAATTATGATAATACGAGTTTAATTTACAACTTATTATAAGTACATATTTAGTGAATTTGTCAATACATATATACGTTTTGAACTAAAGTTATTTAGTTTTGTTGCAGGGGCGGCTCAAACCCATTGGTGGCCTAAGGCCAAAATCAAACTAGAGGCCTTAAAAAAAAATTAAAAAATTATAAATTTAAAATATAAACTATCAATAGAACAAGTAAATTCTTAAGCTTTAAATAAGAGAGAGATGTAAGATTAGAAAAGAGAAAGTGAGAAGAAATAGAAGAAAGGAAGAGAGGAGGATAGAATATATAAAAATAAAATTAGAAAAAAAAAGGTAAAAAAAAAGAAGAAGATAACTTGTACATTAAAAAAAAGTACACAACTTTTTATTGAAAAAGTAAAAAGTAATTGTCATATCTATCACTTAATTAATGTCATTTGCATTTGTTGTCTTAGTTCTAAATTTTTATTTTTTTATTTTTTTAAATTTAATCCTACCTAATTAACTAAAAAATGGAGCCCCCTAAAATTGGGGGCCTAAGGCCAATGACTTTTTTTTTTAACCCTTACCAGCTGCCCTTGTTTTGTTGTATCCGTACGATAAATTGTGTATCAATTCTAATTTTAACTCACCTAATTTATTCTTAATTCTGAATTCGCCTTCATACGTGCATTTCTTTTTCAGAATTAATCGACCTAGACATATAAATTTAAAAAACTATCTATTTAATTAGGTTATATACACCTTTTTATATAAAAGAAAGTAAATTAACATCATTAATAAAGTCATCTTTACCTGTTATACCAGATAATATATAAATTGTCTTAATTATTAAATTGCATATCTCATATTTTTAGGAGGCTTACCCTATAGATATCCTTTGGATAACATGACACTGCTATTTTTTTTTATATATATTAACAAGTGTATATATGTAACTTAAACTATATATAATTGTATAGTACCTTAAAGTTGTGAACTCTCCATAAGAAGCAGCTTCTGAAATTTTTGTCAAAGGGATATGAAAAGCTTCTGACCAATTAAATTGTTTTGGACAAGTAGCTGTTGAATTTCCCCATCTATATGAATTATTTAATAATCCACAAGTAGCTTTCATTTCAAATGGTGCCTTAAACAATTTCATTTGTTCCTTTCTCATTTTTCTTAGTAATTCAAGGCTCACACCATGATTCACAACTTGAAAAAAACCCCATTCAGAAGAAGCCTTGGCTATCGCGTTTTCACATCTAATCATTTCTCTCTCATCTCCACTTTTTAGACCGTTCAGGTCTATCATCGGAAGTTCCAACTCTTCCATCATGAGTACTCCATCATTAGAGCAGTCACGATTACTTTGTAATCGCGAAAGCTTTGAGTAGTCATGTAGGAGAGGAGGATTCCAAGACTCTATCATCATATTGTGATCAAATTAAGCAAGAAAATATGAGAAATGAAGAAGAGTTTGGGACAAAGAGTATATACATGAGGTATTTATATGGTTTTAAGTATAGAGTGGGGAGGAAAAAGGAAGGAAAGTGTGGAAAGTGACAAAATAACACCATGTGGGGGAAAAACAAGAGGAAATTAAACCCTTTTAATTCATGACAAGTGTCACAATAAGAATGCATCTCCAATTTTCTAATGCGACAATTGTCAATGACAATGTATCTTCTTGAAATGGGCCTTTTTCTTTTTATATATAGATATGTTGTTCGATGTTCAATTTGATTACGTGCATCTTGATTAATTTCATAATATTTTTTATAGTTTCACGATCAGCACAAGTACATGTTTACTACTTGTTCACTAATAAATACGAAAAATTCATCTAGTGTTTTCCTTTTATTTGGGATTTAAATGAAATTGGACTTTTTTTTCCTTCACAAACCATTTTTTAAATTATTATTTTTACTTTGAGACACTTTTTGTGCAGATTATTGGAGAGGAATTTTACAGAAGAATTAGTATTTTCTCCATGGGGAAAGACGAAAAAGTAAAGTGTCAGATTCAAAGAATTTTAATTCATTCTAGTAGATCTCAAAAATTAATCTTTCGAGATCGTCATCATTGAGTTTTAAAGCGTGCATACATGTCATGTAAATTTGTGTTATATCATATAAACTTTGCACTTCCTTCTTTTATTCAATGTGAAATTCAATTAAGATATCATACACACCCCTTTCTTCATAAGATTTTCAATTTAGAAGTATGTTGGCAATTTTTTTTACCAATCCTTAGCAACTTGACATGTGTTATAGATGTTACACATATGTTGGTCTGTAGATTAATTTGAATTCATAACAAAAAAAATTATTCAAAGAACAAAACATTCTTGATTGAAAATATTTTAATTTTTAAAATTTGATTTCAAAATCAAATTAAACTTACAAAATCGCATTCATCTCATCAGATCCTCCGCATAATTTAGCGTGACAATGTGAGTGCCAATTAGACTTTTTTCATGAAATATTGCTATCATGTTGTGCTTTGTATTCTTTTGATGAAAAAGTCGGTCACAACTCACACGTACGGCTGAATATTAAATTAGAAAAAAAAAACTGTCAATTTTTTAAGTGTGAAAATATATTTGCTTTTTTATTTCTTGACTCATACGTAAAATAGTTAATTAAGCCATTGCAGAATTAGGAAAAAGTGAACTTTTTTCTTTTGTCTTAATTTGAATGTTTTGTTATATAAAGTCAAAAGTTAAGTTCAACATTGTCCAGAAAAAAATAGACAAATTACTATTTTCCCCAATGAGATTTGTATATTCATTAAAATTAAATAAAATTATACCATTTTGTAATAAAGAGAAATCTTACTCACGGACCTAAATAACAAGCAAACACACTACATAAAAATGATCTTGACATATTTGCTTATTCCTACACAAATAGAATTAGGAGCGTGTATCGATCGGTTCGGTTTAGTTTTACTTATTATTAATTTTGTTTATTAGTTTTCGATTTTTAAATATGCTAAATCAATAACCATATCAATAAGATATTTTTTTTAATCGATTTTTGGTTTTTACCGGTTCGATTTTCGATTTAATAATAAGAAAATACCCATAAAACAAATATTTAACTTTTCCAACAATTTGACACGATGGGATAATAATGTACTTTGCATAATGCTCATAAAATAGAAATAGTAGTAACTAACATTAAAAGAACTATACATGTGCAACACACAATAATATGAATTGAAGGCTAAAGGGCAAATGTGGTAATCACTAAGGTATTGGTATTAATATTTAATATTTATTCAGGGGTAAAATAGTAAATCATACCGTCTTAATGGGTTATCGGTTTATTCAATCACCCAATATTAAAATATCAAAATCGAATCAATAATTCAATAATATATTTTTATAAAATCATTAGAAATCCGTTAACTCAATAATTCAGTAGCAATAAATCAATAACAATTTTGTCGATTCAGTTTATTGGTCCATTCGACTATAACACACTCCTAAATAGAACTATACCTTATACATATGCTACCAATTTATAGCAGCGATTTAAAATTTTAAATTCGATCGATCTTTAGATTTTATCACTAAACTTATTACACACATTTATTTTTAATATTTTCTAAAATTATTTTTTAGTAATATTCGACATCTACATATATACCTTCGATATTGAAAATATTGAATTCGATTAAATTCGTTAGTTACTTGTATGTCAAGTCCACCGTTATTTCATAATCTCGAAAATCCCGATAACTAAAGCTGCATTCGGATTTTGGAATATAATGTAAAGTATATTAACCAAATCAGATTCAAAAGAATTTTTAGAACTATGTATTATAATAATTTAAATTCCTTAGAACACACTAGTAAAAAAAGACATTCTTTTTGACTTTGTGGAGTAGAAAAAATATTGAAGGCACGTAATTTTATGAAAATATTTGGATTCTGTGTGCTAATATATGGAGTTGATTCAGAAAAATAATAATCTTCTTTTACTAAATTTATTCATTGGAAATGTATTTGTTATAATTGAAATTCATTCATTTAAAATAATACTCATTATTTTCTCTGTTCCTATTTATTTATCTGTTTTTAACTTGACATGTATTAAGAAAATAATAATTGACATAATGAGAATACCTTTATACCCATAGTAATTAATAGAATTTCAAAATAAATTTACTCATTAAAGAGGTTCTACCTTTTTTCAAAGACATTAACTCTCTAAATAAATTAAGGGAATAATAGATACGAAAATATTGTTTTTTCTTGATTTATCAAAATGACAAGTAAAAATTCAGAATTGGACAAGTAAAAAAAGCCAGAAGGAGTATGAGTTTGAGTCTGAAAAATGAAGTACTTTAGTGAATCTACTCACTACTCGCTAGCTTGCTATATAATATGATATTTAAAATGTGTTTTTCTTAAGCAAAAGTTTTGAGTTTGAATTCGAAAAATAGAGAATCCTTAAGATATAGATTTACTCATTGTGAATTTGGAATGGTTGAAATCTATTCATTTGTTAAACAAAGGTCTCAGGTTGGGGTTAACCCTCGATTTTTTTAAATTTTTTTTAGTGGATTTACTAGCTCGTAGTGAATTTCAAATACGAAATACATATGCAAGAACCCGAGAAAATAAAAATAAAAATATAGCAAAAGGAAACCCCCACATGTATAAACCATTCGGGTTGTTTGATTTGTGGGACAAGACATACAAGAATATTCCATAAGTTCAAATATGCTATGATAAAAAAAGTTATGTAAACTCATAATTCCCCAACTAAAATGATATATTATTTGTGTATTTCTTAAAATATATATGATATTATCTGAAGGCATCCACGATCAAAAGAGATTGAATGATCACCCTGGTTAAGAGTTGATCTTTAACTCATTTAGGTGGTCAAGAGATTGACCTCACTTGCTATAATTTGTTTTGTTTTTAAGTTTTTTTTTTCCAGTATTACTATAAAATTATATATTTTATTTTAAAAAGTAAGGATCCATCCGTTTCTTAAAATTCTAAATTTATTTATGATTTTATCTCACACTTTATATAATATAACTTCTCCCATCATTTATATTAAATAATAATTTTACGAAATATCGCAAAATTATTATTCCTATTCCATCTACCAAACGACGGTCACAATGTGAATGTGAGACTTTTTCATGAACTACTACTTTGTGCATTTTGTGGTTTGTATTCTTTTGAATTTGTTAAAATCGATAATTCTAAAATTTTATTAAGAAGTTAGTCACACGTAAGGCTGAATATTTAATTAAAGTAGAAAAACAGTCAATTTTTAGTATGAAAATAAATGTTTGCCTTTTTATTATTTCTTGACTAAAACATTGTGGAAACTCAAACAAGTCATTGTAGAATCAGGAAAATTTGATATTTTTTTGTTGTTGTAATTTGAATGTCTTGTTGTATAAATTCAAAAGTTAAGTTGAACATAGACAACTCACAATTTTTTAAAAATAAAATAAAATTTGCATAATTAGTAATAAGATAAAAAAACCATCGATGTAGCTGTATAAATTCAAGGATGGTTATTTGAACATTTTTTATTTAAAAATTATATTGTGAATATAGAAAATAATATTGTATTAATTATTTTTTAGAAATATATATTTAATATTTATATATTTTCTCAACAAAATTTCTAATTTCGCCATTGCGTTACAAAATGTCATTAATGGTGTAAAAGACAAAAAAAAATGGTTGTTGTGAAGCAAAATTTAGAAATCTTGGTGAATTTCAATATATAAGGGCCAAGGGTAAAAAATTATTTATATCATATGTTCACATAAAACCAATGAATATATAACATGATTAATTATATGTATATATTCACTCTATTACATTAATTTGACGTAAATACTCGCTATGATTTTTACTTTTTTTTAATCTTTGATGCCCAATGTGTATAAACGGTTTCTAAATTTTGCATGTGGCAACTCACTCTAAGTTTTATGTTTTGTTATTATATTTTATATTATATGATAGAAAGAGAAGTTTTAATTTCTAGTGTAATTAGCATAAAACCAAATATATAGAAAAAGAGATTATGGTAATTAGTTTCCTCTCATTCATGTAATTAAAACCTCAATAAAAATGGGGTTTTCCAAAAAATTGAGAGCCTAAAACTCACTTCTAACGCTTATAGTCTGTTTGATCAAATTTTAAAAATTTACTTGTCTTAATTTTTTTTTTAATTAGAAGTGCTTTTGAAGAGTAATAATTTGCGTTTTACTAACTTATTTTTGAAAAATCATTTTTGCCAATATTAAATTAGTACTTTGTGTTTGACCAATATTTTTTAGAAATACTACTCAAGAACACTTATTACTTTCGAGTTCCAATTCAAATTTTGAATTTTCGTGATATATTATATCCTTTAATCCGACACATTATGCTCAATAAAATCTAGAACCACATATTTCAATTAATTGGACATACAAATAAAAATATTTAATCACGTACTCAAATG